GGAGGGTTTATTGAGAGTTGAACACAGCACAGGAAACTCTCTGACCCTCAGGCCTGGCCTCTCTCAGCACAGCACATCCCAGTCTCTCTGCATCCCAGTGGGCTCTCCCTGCTTCCCCTCTCCAGCCCTGAGCCCCCCTGCTCGCAGCTGAATGAATAAAATCACTTTTTATTTAGTAATTCACTCAGAGTATGTATTAATACCTGGGGGAGCAAACAGCTGTGCATATCTCTCTATCAGTGTTATAGAGGGCGAACAATTTATGAGTTTACTCTGCATAAGCTTTATGCAGGGTAAAATGGATTTATTTGGGTTTAGACCCCATTGGGAGTTGGGCATCTGAGTGCTAAAGTCAAGCACACCTCTGTGAGCTGTTTTCAGGTAAACTTGCAGCTTTGGGACAAGTGATTCAGACCCTGGGTCTGTTTTGGAGCCAGATGGGAGTGTCTGGCTCAGCAAGACAGGGTGCTGGAGTCCTGAGCTGGCAGGGAAAACAGGAACAGGGGTAGTCTTGGTACATCGGGTGGCAGCTCCCAAGGGGGTTTCTGTGATCCAACCCGTCACACCCCCTTTCCCAGCTCGTCCCTGGAGTGGGCAGCTCCCATGTGGGGCTGGGAGGTGATGGTGGGAGCAGGGGACCAGGCTAGCGTGACCAGACAGCAAGTGTGAAAAACCAGGACGGGGGGGTGGGAGGTAATAGGAGCCTATATAAGAAAAAGACCCAAAAAATCAGGACTGTCCCTATAAAATTGGGACATCTGGTCACCCTAGACCAGGCAGCTGCAGGAGGGGATCTGGTTTGCTGGGCATGGCAGGGAGCTGGCTTTGCTCTGACAACAGTAGATTTGCCCTCGAGATTGCAGGGATGGGAAGAAAGAGGCCGAGTGCATCACAGGCTTCCTGGAGCTGCAGCCCCTGGTGTATTCCCACTTTCCGCTCGCACTTGGGCCTGAGGCTCGGTGGAGCTCAGCACCGAGGTGTTGGTGGCAATGTGACGAAGCAGGGGGGTTTCTTGTTGTTTCCAATGGTTTGCATGCAGAGGGGGCGGGACTCAGTTTCCCTGGGTGTTACTGGTTTAACGAGGTGATGGAAGAGGGGGGTTGTTGTTAGAGGGGGCCAGTGAACGGCCTGGAGAATGGATACCCCAGTGACTGGGGACCGGGAGGCCCAGCTCAGGAGTCGCAGCTGGTTCTGGCCAGTGGGAGGAGAATGGGCTGCGGAGAGAGGACCCTGGTAACCTGACCAGCTGGTTCTAGTCAGTGGGGAACTGTGGCGGGCCTGGCACCACAGGGCCCCTTTGTAGCAGGGGTAGGATGGGGTGGCGGCGCCTCGCCACTCTCGAGTTCTTGTGCCTGCCTCTCTGTGGGTGGCCGGTTATGGCCTCTTGGCCTTCTTCCCTACTATCACCCCTGTCTGGCGGGGTACCGTACCAGTGTGGGGCCACTCTATCCCATCACACACCCTCCTCCTTAAGACAGGTGCCTGGGCCGGCTGACCCTTGATCATTTCCTCCCCCTCCTCTTCCCTGACTCGGGAAAAGAAGTCCGCATTCCCATGAGCCTTTCCTGGCCAGTGTAACAGGCGGAAGGATGAGGGTTGGAGGGACAAGTACCACCGCATGATTCGTGTATTTGTCTCCTTCATGCTATTAATCCACATGAGGGATGCATGGATCCGTTACCAAGGAGAAGGGGTTCCCTAATAGGTAGTACCTCAGTGCTTCGACCACCCATTTAACCTCCAGGGCCTCCCGCGCTATGGTGGAATACCGGGTTTCTCAGGGGAACAGCTTGTGGTTTAGGTACAAGTTGGGGTGTTCTTCTCCCCCCACCTCTTGTAACAGTACGGCTCCCAGCCCTACCTCTGAGGCGTCGGTCTGGAGGATAAAGGGCCTTGTGAAGTCGGGCAGTATCAGTATTTGCTCCCATGTCAATCGTTCCCACAGCGCACAAAAAGCCTTCTCACAGTCTTCCGACCACTGGACCTTCCGTGGCTGGGAGCTTCTCGTCAAGTCTGTCAGGGGGGCGGCGAGCGTGGCAAAGTTAGGCACGAACCGATGATAGTATCCGGCCAGCCCTAAGAACTGCCGTACTTGCCTTTTTGTGGTGGGTGTCGGATAGTTCTTCAAGGCTTCCACCTTGTCTACCAAAGGGCGGAGTTTCCCTCGACCCACCGTATTGCCCAGGTAGGTCACTTCTCTTTGGCCCAAGTGACACTTGGCTGGGTTTGCGGTAAGGCCTGCTTTGCCCAGCGCTCGTAGCACCTCGGCGAGGTGCTGGAGATGTTCCTCCCAGTTGGCACAGTCAACAATGATCTCGTCGATGTATGCTGCGGCGTACGAGCTGTGGGGGCTCAGCACTTGATTCATGAGTCGCTGGAAAGTAGCCGCGGCCCCATGTAACCCGAACGGCATCATTGTAAATTGGTAGAGTCCTAATGGTGTTGGGAACGCCGTCTTTTCTCTGGAGGCTGGTGGCAAAGGGATCTGCCAATATCCCTTGGTCAGATCTAGGGTGGAGATGAATTCTGCCTTACCTAGTCGCTCCAGCAGCTCATGGGATGGGCATCAACACAAGCGACCGCGTTCACCTTCCAGAAAACAAGACAGAACCTGACTGTTCCATCTGGCTTGTGAACTACTACTATAGGGCTCTGCCATTCGCGTCTTGACTCTTCGACCACCTCCAGGGCCAACATCCTGTCGAGCTCTCTCCGTACAGTCTCCCACATCTTCCTGGGGAGTGGGCGGTGGTTCTCCCTCTTTTTGCGGCCAGGGATGGTGGCAATATGGTGGCTGGTCAACGCGGTCTTCCTGGGCAGTGTCGACAGGACTGTGGGGAAAGCTGAAATCAGCTGTCGTACCTGCTCCTGCTGTACCGGGTCGAGCTCTGGGCCTATGGCCGCTGCCCCTGGTTCCTCTGGTTACCACGCCAACGGCCCTACCTCGGGTTCCGGAGCGTACGGGGCAATCATCAGGCCCTCCCGATCTCTCCAGGCCTTGAGGAGGTTTACATGGTAGACCTGAGTGTCCTTCCTTCGCCCCGACATCCGTACTTCATAGTCGACGGGCACTATTCATCTGGTCACATCAAAGGGGCCTTGCCACTTGGCTAACAGCTTAGACTCGGAGGAGGCTAGCAACAAGAGGACACGGTCTCCGGGCTCAAAACTTCTCATCTTGGCCCCTTTATTATATTGAGCCTCCTGGCTATGTTGGGGTTTCACCAGGTTCTCTTGTGCCAAGGCTCCCAACTCCCGGAGCCGTTCCTGCAGGTGGAGGATGTATTGGGCGGATCCTTGGATGCGGGTCTCTGCTCTTCCCAGGTTTCTTTTAGAAGATCTAGAATTCCCCGGGGTTTCCTCCCATAAAGGAGTTTGAAAGGGGAGAACCCTGTGGAAGTCTGTGTCACCTCTCACATGGCAAAGAGGAGAGCTGGGAGCAATTTATCCCAGTGCCGAGGATCATCGTCTACAAACTTCCTCAGCATGGCTTTCAGTGTGCCATTAAATCTCTCTACCAACCCATCCGTCTGAGGGTGGTAGACTGAGGTCTTAAGTGCCCGGATATTCAGCAGACAGCATAACTCTGCCATTAGTCTAGAAGTTACGTTAGTCCCTTGGTCCATTAGTATCTGCCGCAGAAGGCTGACCTGAGCAAAGATCTGCAAGAGCTCGTTGGCGATGATCGGTGCTGTGGTGGTCCATAGTGGTACCGCCTCTGGGTACCGCGTTGCATAGTCAACCACGACCAGGATGTACTTGTGGCCCGAGCTACTCTTCTCCAAGGGCCCCACCAAGTCCAAGCCTATCCGCTCAAAGGGTGTCCCAATCACCAGCAAGGGCACAAGGGGGGTACACCTTTTGGGCCAGTCTTCTGGCATTCGGGGCAGGAGGCGCAGTAGTCCCGCACCTCCCTATGGATGCTCAGCCAGAAGAACCTCTGGGCCACCCGTTGCAGCGTTTTCTCCCTCCCCAGGTGCCCAGCCCACGGCACTGAGTGAGCCAAGTGGAGTAAGTTCTGCCAGAACCGCCGCGGGACCAATAGTTGGCGCAGATCTTCTTTTGTTTGTGGTTCCTGGACCACCCGATAGAGTAGGTCATTATGGATCTAAAATTGAGGTCCTTGCTGCTGGCGTTGGGGCGGGTCTTCCTCCCCGGGGGGTCCCATCTCCTGCTCCCAGGCCCGGATGAGGGTGGTGTCCCTCCTTTGTTCTTCCAGGAAGTCAGTGTCTACATCCAGCCATCCATGGCCCTCTCCCATTGGGACCTCGGTAGTGGTTCGACTCCCTTCATCTATCTCGGGATTCTCCAAGGGCCCCTCCAGGGGGTTGTCCAACACTGGTTGGCCTAGTAATCCAGGCCTTCTAGCATGCCCCTCTCTTTTCCTCGTAGGCCGAGTACCCCACTCTCGCAGGATGTCAGCAAAGCCTGGCCACTCGCGTCCCAGGATCATTGGGTAAGCCAACTTTGGGTCCACCCCAACTAGACACTGCCCTCCGTGTTGAGCAGCCTCGAGCTGCACCCAGATGGTGGGGTAGGGCTTCACATCCCCGTGAATACAATGCAGGTGTATGGGGACCCCGGGGGGCCGGTGGGCTCTACCAGCCCTGCCTGGATGACCGTCTGGCTACATCCCGAGTCCACCAAGGCCCGGGTAGACATCCCGTCCACTCTCATTGGTATGATGATCTTCCCCGGCTCCCATAATTGTCCCATTGTCTGGGCACAATGACCAGCGGCCCAAACCTGCCCATAATTACAATTCATGTATGGGCACTCCCTCCGGAAGTCCCGCTATCTGTCCGCACTCGTAACACCGGTCCCGCTTCCCTTCTTCGGTCGGGGTATG